TAGATAGATAGATAGATAGATAGATAGATAGATAGATAGATAGATAGATAGATAGATAGATAGATAGATGTGTGTGTAATGAATGAGTCTTAAATAGCATGTCTGCCTGATAGGGTTTAACAGTAACAGAGTTGGAAGGGGCTTTGGAGGTCATCTAGTCCAGCCCCCTGCTCACGCAGGAGACCAATACTAGGGATTCGAACCACCGAACCTCTGACCTTTCTGATTGGTAAACTCAGTGTCTTAGCCACTGAGCCACCTAGTCAGGCTAATGTTCAATGTGTAATGCTTACGCTTAGGTCTATGACATACACTCAGTCATGTTGGATGTTCTGGGTTTGCTGATATCAAACCTATTTTTAAATCTTGAACATGAGAAACATTAGCAGCCACATCAGCATACTCCTAGCAAGCGTATGCTTCCTGGCTGTGCTAGGAAGTTACACCAGCATTTCCAGCAGATAGATGTGAAAATTATTCTGACTACATTCCACATGACTAATAATCCATCATGCAGGACTGATCTCACCTATCCGCTCATCTTCCTTGCACAGGTCTCCTTCCCAACTGTTCAGAATAATATTGCTGGTTTAGTTGGTAAACACACACACACACACACACACAGACACACACAGACACACACACACACTCCAGAAGCATCCCCCTTATCAGCCAAGTTCAAAGTGGGACAGGGAGAATGGCAGCATGGGTTTTGAAGCACTTGCTTTCCATGCAGAACTATTCTGATTGATAAATTGCAGATCATGCAATGGACTTTGTGATTCCCACTGCTAAGAACCAGTTGGTGCAGTTAATGCACAAAAGCTAAAAAAAAAAAATCCCCACCCTCTTTTGTATAGCATGAAATGCAGATCTACTGTACCTATTGGGCTAAGCAGGATTAAATAGCAGCTTTCTAGCAACAAAGTGATGTCACTGACTCATCATTCTAGCTGCTGCATCGAATGGTCTTGTTTAAATGAACAAGATGTCCAAATTATCCAAAGTTAACACCAAGTGGACACTGGCATAGGATGCTAGCAAAGAGCATCCCTAAATTACACTAACATAGGACGCTAGGAAAAGAAGGGGGCCCACATATTTCTTTTTCTAGCATCCTATGCCAGTGTCGTTTTTCCCCTCCATTATTTTTCTTTCTTTTCTAGTCAAACCCCAAATCTTGAAATAACCTTCAGGCTTAGAGGTCAGCCTAGTGATTCTCAGCCTTTAGTCTCACCAACTCTGCTGTCCAAACCCCTTGGGGCTGCTTTTTAGGTTTACAAGAAATTGTAATCAATCACATTTCTGTGAGATGGGTGGCCATATAAATATGATAAATAGATATACGGGGGAGAGAGAGGGAGGGAGATTGGATGATACTTATGGTAAGTTTGACAATTATTTTTTTTACTGCTGCAACTTTACCGTAATGAAAGCTAACTAGGGCTGAACCTAGAGCATTTGTCACTGTGAGATCAGCCTCCTCCTACTCCAGTTCACAGGCCTGAAACATTATCTTGTTTTACCCTAACGGCCAAACTTTTTCAAAACTGCTCCAGTCCTGGTTTCAGCCATCATTTTCAGTTCCTTTTGCCTTAACGATCCCCACAGAGAGTGTCCGTTCTAGTATCATACTGGCCTGAGAAGGACCTTTGTTACTGCTGTATCTCCTCCTCCTCCTCTTCCTCCTCCTCTTCCTCCTCCTCTTCTTCTCCTTCTCCTCCACCTCCTCCTCTTCTCTTTCTTCTCCTCCTCCTCTTCTTCTCCTTCTTCTTCTCCTTTTCCTCTTTCTCCTCCTCTTCTTCTCCTTCTCCTCCATCGCCTCCTCTTCTCCTCCTCCTCCTCTTCTTCTCCTCCTCCTCCTCTTCTTCTTCTCCTCCTCCTCATCCTCCTCCTTCTTCTTCTCCTTCTCCAACTCCTCCTCTTCTCCTCCCCTCCTCCTTTTCTCCTCCTCCTCCTCTTCTTCTCCTCCTCCTCCTCCCCTCCTCCTTTTCTTCTTCTCCTCCTCCTCCTCTTCTTCTCCTCCTCCTCCTCCCACTCCCCCTTTTCCCTCCTCCCCTCCTCCTCTTTTTCTTCTTTTCTCCTCCTCCTCCTCCTCCTCTTCTTTTTCTTCTTCTCCTGCTCTCCCACCCTCCTCCTTGCTGTATTACTTCTAGCAACATTGACAAATGTTGTTCCACCTGATGGTTTTTTCAAACCTGAATCCCCCTTTAGAAGGAGTGCCCTCCATCTCACCATATGTCAGCCTTTCAAAGTAGTGCTGCCAGAAAACCAAATTCATAAATGCCAACACTAACTTTATTGTTAACAATAGCAGAATGAAAGCTCTTGTCCCTTCTCTTGCTTTTACTTTCC